GGTTATCATAAAACGCACAAGCTGCCCCAAACAGACCCTTAAGCATGAATGACCGCTACGAACTCATCCAAATTACACTAATTTGACATTTAGATTGCCAAGCAAAATTTTATATTTAATGTCATTGTTTCTTATATATCTAACCTTCATCCTGTAGACTGCACATGTGATTGATTTACGAATAAATTATGATTTTTGATTTTTCATGGCTAGGACAATATTCTACCTATGAAATTGTGACATTTTGTCATAGTTTTCAATAGCCAAACATTGATCCTGAATTCTTCCCAAATTTATTCGCGTGGCAAGATATTTTATCATTTAACATGAAATGAAATTTGAGACATTTTAAGCAATAAATATTTCAGATTCAAATTCATGATTATCCAGAGTTCTGATTTCAACGTGTTGATCGTTTGGACAAGGTGAACTCAATGGTACTGGAATTGATTTAATTTGAGTCTGAATCAAGTCATTAAAACACATTTGAAAGCATCGGTCGTTAATTGAGTGCTAAAATCAAATCCAATTTTGACATACTTATAGTGACTCTGCTATCAAAATTATACCCTAGCGGATGAAGTCATGAGCACCTCAAAAATATTAGGAGAATTCACGTACATATCATCCAATTCTTATGTTTTTGCATGTCTAAAGCCTAAATTTTTCTTTTTTATATCTATGAAAATGTTTCATATCGCATCTATAAATTCATTATTTTAAATTTTTAAAATTTAACACTTATTCACACATATGTAAGATGAGATATATGTAAAAGTTGAAGTTTAGGTGTTGAATATGCAAATATATAAAAAAATGAGTGGCATGCATGTAAATCTTCCAAATTGTTTTTGCCAATTCAAATTTTAAATGTTCAATAACCCAACTCTTTTGAATTGAAGTCATACGGGCTCCAAAATGGTACCCTTCACTTGTGAATTGGAGACATTGCAATTGGTAGCCATCATGGAGTCACTATTGATGATGGAGTCACAATTGAGGACCATAACCAACCCATAACACACCATCATGATCGGACTTGTTGCCAATATGGAAAAAATATTACGGCCGGATTCACGAACGGCCGGATGAGCACGAAACATTTAATAACATGGAACTCAAGTTGCACAATAATAGAAAAAGCAAAATAATAAACAAAAAAAGAAAATAAAATAAAACATATTTTGGTTTGCTTGAACTCAAAATGAAGAACGGTTGGCATTTAAATGAAAAGTTTAAGAGTTTAGCACGATCATTATAAAATAAATGAAATCCAACATTTTTTTCTCCTCGTAATAGGCTAAACAATTCTTCTCACCAAAAGAGACATTCGATTTCTTTCTCCTCAGAGATGATATCAAGCTAATAAATAAAATATACATCAGACAGAAGGACATGACTCCTCTCCTCATCAATGGATTGAGCACAAAAAAAAAAAGGTTAGGGCATGTTAATAACCCAAAATATGCAAATGCAATATTTTTTCCTCCTCACAATAAGCTAGGTCACGATCAGCGTATAAGTTCTTCCTCTAGCATTTGATCGAAACATGGATTGCGAGAGAAATGCAAGGAGTCAAGTTAAAAATGCATAATAATGGGGGATGAATGAAAGCAAGGGCAATGGGCTTCAGATCCATTCGGGGCGAGTTAGGGCTAGGAGACTAATGAAAGCGGGAAAAAATATTGCCTCGGGACTACCTACGTAGAGCTACGTGCGTAGTCCAATCAAATGTCGCCCTATGGAAAAGCCGGGCCCAACGACGAAATCAGGCTAAATTAAACTCGAAATCAGACTAAATGAACACACGAACCCGACCCGAACGAAACCCGAACAATTTCTCTGTTGTGTGCGTTACCACTGTTTGTGTTACCGCCAATTTAATCGTTGTTACTCCGCAGTTTGCTGCATTACTCCACGTTATGTGCTGTGTTATTCTCGGTGTTACCGTCGATTAAATTGGTGTTACTCAGTAGTTTGATGCGTTACTCTGCGTAATTTGCTGTGCTACGCGGCGAATATTCTCCGTGTTACCGCCGATTTAATCGGTGTTACCCGCCGTTCACCGGGTTATGTGTTATTCGTGTGATATGAAGGTGATCATGAGGTGTTATTCTTGTTTACACATCAGTAACACTTCAATAAAACCTTCATAATATAATAATAAGAATTCAACATAAGTTACTCATATGTCATTGATGTCATCACATAAATAACACATCAATCACACAGGAATAACAGAAACATAACACATCAAAAGAGGTAACACATGAATAACACAGAAATAACACAGCAATAATGCCTAGGATTTCGCCAACAAAGGAAGTAGCACATGCATAATGCATAGAGTTAGAGATGTTATAAGAAAGCATAACACATCAATAACACATGCATAATGCCTAGGGTTTGCCAACAAAGGGAGTAGCGTTTCGCCGAGGAAGACAAAACGGACGCTGGACCTCAAACTTCGTAATAGTGCGGAGAAAATGAAAAAGATTTTTTTGAATGAAGAGGCAGGTTTGGGTTTAGGGTCGGGCCTGATCGCGACTCATAGACAATTTTTTTTTTTGTGCTTTAATAGGTGGGTCTGGCTTTTCCAGAGGGCGACATTTGATTGGACTACACACGCAGCTCTACGTGTGTCATCCTGAGGCAATATATTTTCATGAAAGCGAGGGTAGCGAATGAAAAAAAAAAAAAAAACCTCACTATTTATTTGTGAACCGAGGGACGCAGGTGTAGCCCTTGGCCGTGAAAATAATATTTTAGGTGAGCCCCCAATCACACATAAACGACATTTTTATAAAAAAAAAAGAGTAGATTTTAAAAGCTTAAAAAAAAAAAAAGTAGATTTTAAAAGCCGAAGAGCCTTAAAAGCTGAAAAAAACTGGCCTTAAAATAGAACTGATTTCTACTTAGAGCACTAAATCGAAGCAGTTCAGTGATCCACCTATTTCGACCCGGCACTGTATCCACTCGGATCCCTCTCACCTATTTTGGAAGCCATGGCCGAGATCCGGCACTCGGTAGCTATGGGTACCCGCGCGGGGTCTTCCCCCCTGAAGCGCGACGACACTGTCTCACCTTTCTTCTCCGGCGAAATGGCCGGCGGAAGCGACGGTGATGGTCATCGCCCTTTCTCCCGCGGCCGGGATCGGTCACGTGATCGGGATCATGACCGCGACAAAGAGCCTCATCGCTCTTTTCCACTCCACCTCCCGCATTATATCCGCTCTCTCCTCCCACTCGACGACCCTAGGGTTTACTCTCTTTTCTCCTCCCATCGATTTCAGCTTGCGTCCTTTGCTCTGCTTCTCCTTCTCGGCCTCCTGTCTCTTCCTTTCATATGGACCCGCCTGGTGAGCTTTCTCTCATATTATTTCGTCGCTGATTATTGTTTTTTGGATCTTTATTTCCGGCCAGTTCTACTATTTGGATTTCTGCGTGATTTTAGCCTGTCTTATAGCAAGTTAGTAAGTGGGGATCTGTTTAAGGTTGATTTAGTTGTACTAAATATCTTGTTATCTTTTTGTTTCTTATCCAAAGTATTGCTGATGTTTATTTAGAATGCGCCTTACTTGTGCGTTAAGGAAGGAATTACTCTTCACTGCCCTATGGTGAGTTGACTGGCAGGAGCTCTATCTGTTTGAGGTTTTTGTCGCACTTCTCTCATTAGCACCTAGCATTTTTAATTTGTTATGTCATTATGGGTTGTCTGATTCTTTCTTTTTTGAAGAATATTGCTTGAGGTATTTGTATTTTGGTTCTCAAACAGGCGAGGGAGCCTCCATCACTTTGGGAAAATCCACACTCTTCTACAACGTCATGGAAGCCATGTGCTGAGCGAAGTAAGAAGCCTATTTCTGGTAATTATACGAACTCAAACTGAACTTCTGCTAGGGGTTGTTGTTTTAAAACTCTTTTGCAGCACAAAGTCTTCATGCTTGCAAGTCATTCTATGATTTGGTGTCTTTTGTTTCGGTATTAATTTGTAATGAACTTGGTCTTATCTCCCTGTCAATCTAATCCCAATACCCTTAAAAATTAGATGAAGGAAGAGAAATAAAGTGAAGGGAATATTTATGCAGAGGGTGCCCTTTATGATCCAAATTCTCACTCGAGTAGGGAGGCGTGTTTGAATCCAACCTTGTCTTGCGGCTAAGGTTTTCAATTTCGTGCACCTTTTTGCAGTTGTTACTAGGCTTTCATTGGCAGATGGGTTTTTTTGGAAGATTTACATACATATTACACAATTCCAATGTTTTTACATGTCTAACAAGTAAAATTTGATTTTTAAATTTATGGCACTTTGCCCATGCATGAAAATTTGGTATTTCACTTTTTAAAAGTTAATAACAATGGTATTTTTTATGATATGAAATATGTAAGTGTTATATGTAAAAAAAAAAGTTTTGGTGTTAGATATATAAATATAGAAGAACAATGCGGTTTGTCCTTTTTTTTTAAGTTCAAGCTATTTACTCAAATAGTTGATGCAACAGTATATTAGGTTTAGCTTTTAACAAAATAAACTCGCCTTCTTAGCATAATAGTCGGATTTAATTTTAGTTATTCTAAGCCTTTATTTTTTCAAACTTAGTCTTATGGAGCTTTTTCTCATTTATAATGAATATACCCAAATAGTTCTTATAAACCTTGCCGATATTTTTCCATTGTATATATAATATACTCATGTAGCATTCTCCTCTAGTTTGTTTTAGATTATCTTTCCAATAGCAGCCTGACCTTGATAAGAAAGTTGGTCCTGAATACAATACCGGCATTACTTATAATTGTTTCTTTTATTTGAATAGCTATTTCTCTGTTTTTTTATTTTTTTGTGGTATGACAGCTCTGTGGCTTGTTCTTTTTTGTTATTGTTATGTTGGCTACCCATGAAACATCATGGACAAATTGTTATGAGCACAGCACCATGTGTCCATTATATTTATAGAATATTCTCCTTTTTTTCTTCATGCATTCTTGGTAAGCCTGCATTTCTTTGCAGACATTCCTCCGGAAAATGAAACTAATGGCTATATATTCATTCATGCGGAGGGTGGTCTAAACCAGCAACGAATAGCTGTATGTTTTTTTTTATTTTTTTTATTTTACATGTTAGGTTATTTGAATCTTTAATTGTAATTTTTTATTTAATTTCATCGATCGTAACTGTTTTTGTTGTTTGTGTATTGCCCGGGTATTAGTATTATCAGTAAGCGTAATTTTTGCATTTTTTTCTTTCAGAAATTCATGACTCATTTTTCTTACATGCTTGATATTGCTTAACTAAGAAACTAATTGTATTCCTGATTATTATCAGGGCTAGTTTCTTTGTCATGCGACATTATGAAGAGCGATGATGTTTCTAATTTGATGGATTATAACTTGAATGAGAGTTTTGATTGCAGATTAACACTTGCTGTAGAAAAAAAAAAAAAAAATGTAGAAAAGTAGTGGGGCAAGTTACTTCCATGAGGGAAGTGAAAAGGGCCTCAACGAGGGAGATGGAGGATGATCTACTACTTTATATAATTCTCATAATCAAGTCCTAATTGTTCATTCAGATAAACTATATAGGAATTATATTCAGATTGGTTTTCATCAATTTTTATGATGATGAATTTATGCGTGCATGAGATGAACCTTTCCCCTCCTAGGTGGAGAATGGTTATTATCCTTTTAAGTCTATTTTACTTTTTGGCATCGATGGGATTTTGTAATAGCAAACTCAAAATCACTTTGTTATGTTCTACAACATAAATTTACTTATGGATTGAATTTCATTAAGCAATGACTAATTTACATATTTACATGCATAAATGAGACAACTTTTCTTCTTTCACTTGGAGATTCACAATTATTTTTTTAATCTTAATTTATTTTTGTAAGCTACAACTTTCTATAATTCTCAAACTAAAAGTTACACTATTTATTATAACTGGCAGATATTGAAGTTAATCTATATAAAAATAAGCAAACAAATATTATTACTGAAAAACCAATAGGCGGTTACAACTCAACACACCGAAATGGAAAATAACGACAAACAAGACACACAAACTCAACTAGGTGTATTCTCAAAGGGGAGTGGTAATCGGTTATGTGGATGGGAAGGGCGGATGCAATAAGTGATTGGTCGGGTTGCCACTATTGGCCGACAGAAGGTGGAAGGTTGATTGTGGTTGGACGACAGAAGGGTGAGCAGGGCGAAAAGGGCTAAACTGGGTGGTTGAAGATGGAAGATTGGCTAGGGTTGGATGTCTGGCAGCAGTTGGGTGGTAGAGGGAGAGCTACAGTGGGATAATAACATATTGTGAGGGGGCGACTCGGATAGAGGGAAGGTTGGAACAGTGGGATAATAACATATTGTGAGGGGGCGACTCAGATAGAGGGAAGTGGACAGTTTACGATGTAGAAAGGTTTTTAAGGAAGGTGGGGGCTGCAAGGATGGCATGGGTGTTGTTCTTTTAAGCGTCTGCAATAGGGACGACAACGATTACAACGCAGGGAAGGCTATGGAGGATAGGGGGAACATAAGATAATCACCACTTCGGAACAAGATACAGTTAGAGCACCACTTGCTCTTGGATACAACCTTAGAAGGGAGAACTGGAGATGTCGACTGCTTTCCCAACTACAAATACAATGAAAAGCTCTCCTAAAACATGAAAAAGTCATACTTATAATACTAGGGTACCTATGATGGGATCCCGTCAGTTAGGCAACAATCCCACGGAATCAAAGGATCAACCAACCTCTCAGATCCACTGGACTGAACTGGTCCATGCAGGGACTGACTAAACCGGTCCAAGTAGCCTCAGGGCTGCCGCGTCTCGCAAAGGCGTGGGAGACGCCTTGTGTCACATGCAACATAAAAATTTATGCTACTTGATTTCATGTGTTTTTTATTATTATTTAATAAATTCATCAAATATATAAAATACAAAAATGATTAAATAAAATATGGAAGCCTTTTCAAAAAGTCTCGTCTCACCAATATGTTGTTAAAATAATCCATCCAGTGATCCAATGGCCACATGATGTCTTCAACAACTAATGCATTTAATTCTAAGCTATTTGAAAGCCTTTAAATTTTGAAATCATAATTAGCTGTTCATGCAATTGAAGCCATCTATCTATTATGAAATTTTTGATTAATTTGTTTGATGATCAAATTATCTTAAAAATCATTGAATGCATCTTGCTAGTTTCGATGATGTCAAAGAGTGATTGATTTGTTTTTTGCTTTTGCATGTCAAAACATTTAAATCTAATTAGGTGAAGAATTTAAATTCTCTCGTACGAGGAAAAAATTCCATCCCTATTTAAGGATATAAATTTTTATCCTCTCACATTTTATATCATTCATCCACTATTTTGAATATTTGGGGTTTAAATTATGCTTCAACTTTTTAAATGTGATATTGAGACTTGTAAAAAGATGAAGATCTAATTTAAGTCTGAACCAATCAAAGAGATGGATGTTTTATGATGGGGATTGATTGTAGCATGTCCTTCATGTGTGCGCTGGTGCATGTACAAGTGTCTATGCGTGTATGCATGGGCGAGCACGTGCATGTTTGCTTCTGCCTGTGTGATTGCATAAATGTGCCCATGTGCATGTTTCTTCTACCCACCAATATGCATGTTACCCAAACATCACTATTTTTTGTCATGGCTACTTTTAGTGGCGTGCCATCATACCATTCCCCCTTATTACTCCATTTCTATTTTTTTTCTATTAGGATCAAGCTCAACTAGATTAGATTTTCTATTTCAACGTATGACGAGAGAATGAGAGCGAGGTTGGGTTAGAGAGTGCCTAAAAAGTGAGAGATAGGAGAGAAATATCGAGAGGAGAGAGAAAGACTATACTTATAAATTACTTATAATATTCAAGCACGCATCTTTTATCATACAAATATCTTCTTTTATTGGTTATATCTTAAAATATAAAGAATATCAATAAGACAAGCAATATAAAGGTTGCTAAAAGAAATAAAGTCGGATCTTTGATCAAAGAGTTGTATTATATGAATTAATACTCTAAGTAAGATATATTTAATTACATCATTATTATTTAATTAATCCAAATAAATTACTGATGGCATTTCACTTATGATAATGAGTTGGAATAGCAAAGACTTGTGTAATAATTTGTTGAACTTGGATGAGGTTAATGTCCATCAAAACAAACTTATGAAGAGCTAGGCATAGCAATTGATTGGTAATTTTCATTCTTCGAAGCTAGATGTTGATCATATAAACATGGGCAGATATCTTATTTGTTAATATGACTTAGGTAGTAATGGCCATGTGAAATTAACCTGTAGTACTAATACAGATGGTATTAGTATAAGTTTTGTAAGGAACATTCAGTATGTTTATCTCAAGATTATCTGAAACAATGTTACTAGATGAGTGCAACTCCGACACAATAACTAGAGGAAAATTTGAGGACCTTAAATCCAGGCATTTCCATTACATTATGTTCTTGTGTATAATCAGCAATCTGATCAATATAATTGTCGAACGGTGGTAATAGCGGTAAAGTCAACTTGTGAATGGTGGAGCGTGAATGGGCAGGAAATAGTCCAGAAGACTTGGGATCATCATTGTATTATTATCTCAAGATTGCTTTAACAACAATTATAGGGGAATTTAGTTTAGGATCATCACTAGGCTCTTACAAGCTTTCCCGCTTTTGCTCAATATTTGGACAAGACTTTGACACAACTACTCAATCATTTCAAGCTTCAGTAGTGAATTAGGCTTAAGTTCAGGCGTAACTAATTAATGGTCATCATTATCAGCACATGTGGATGGAAGATGGAATAAGTAGATCTTGAGGAAATGGATGAGAACATCAATTTGGTGGATTTTTTTTAATAGAGTTCTTTGGGAAATAAGATATTTAGTGGATTAAGGTTTGAATGCGGGAGGAATTTGTGGAACAAAATTAGGAAGGAAGATTCAATAATGCGGGAGGAATTTGTGGAACAAAATTAGGAAGGATAATGAGAGCACGTTGGATGAGAGATTCAATAATGAGAGCACGTTGGATTCAATAATGAGAGCACGTTGGATGAGAGCACGTTGGATGAGAGATTCAATGGGATGGTGAGGAATTCAATTAAGGTTTCAATGCATGCAAAACAATTAGGATTTTATTGGAAGAAAGGATAGTTTTTAGGTTTTAGACTTTTCATGTCATATTTTCATGGATATAGAGATCAAACATATCAAATTTAATATTCAGATTACTTTTAAATTGTGAGGTAAAGAGGGATATATCCGGGGTTTGAGGGTTTATGTGAGATAGCCTTAGAAGAGGGGGGAGAGAGACATCAAAATGAGAAGAAAAATTATGTTTTGCCTAAAAATTGTTTATAATATTCATCAATGCGTCTTTCAACACACAAACATCCTCTATTTTTATGTAGAATTTTACATCTAAGAAAATATGAATAAGCAAATCAAATGAAGAAAGCAATAAGAAGAATTAAATTAAGATCTTTCATAAAAGACAAGTTATTTTTATGCAGGGGTATAAATGGTCCAAACCCAGCCGAGCATTACACTATTCAAACCTATTAATTTATTTGCTTATAAATCTCACACTAAGATTGAAAATGATTGCTTGAGGGATAAAAAATATAATTTCTTGCTTTTAAATTATTTTATATGCAACTCTTTGCAGTTTGATTATTTATAACTTTTGAATTAGATTTGAGTTTCTCTATTTGTTATTTAATGTGATTGCAGATATGCAATGCTGTTGCAGTAGCAAAAATAATGAATGCAACTCTCATTCTACCAGTACTGAAACAAGACCAGATATGGAAGGATCAAACGTGAGATTTTCTCTTTCTGATGTGGATGTTATTATAACTATCCAATGGTCATAATTTTCTTGCATAATATAATGGCAGTAATTGCATCATCATTAGATTAGTCAATTCAACTTATTGATTCGTTTTTGAAGGAGTTTGGCTTTTTTCTTTCTACTCATGATCAATATTGAAACTGCTTATATGTTCTTGCTTATTTGGAAAACTGTTTCCCTTCTTGTTGTAACCTACTCTTAGGGAAATGAAAATTGGATTTATTTAGAAAGTGTCATTTATCTGGAATATTGCAACCTGTTCAACAAAGTTTGACAAAACTTCTGAATGAAAAAACTTGAAAAATAGGATACAATAGTGTTGCAAATGAGTCCAGCTGAGATGTGCAGGAGGCAGTGCTCGCTTGAGCTTATTTACCCCAAGATTTTCAAGGCTCAGACTTAGCTTGATTTAAGCTTTTGTGATAGCGTTCAAGCTTGATTCTCTTAAATTTATGCTAGCTTGAACTTGATTCATATTGTGATCATGGAGCTTTAAATGAGCAGGTTATTTAAAAAAAAATGAACAATCACTTTAAGAATTTCACCAGCTATTATCTACTTGTGTTTTATTCCAGTATTTACTGCTTGATCATCTTTACCACCTGTTTTAACGTTTAAAAGTTTATTTTTATTCATTATTTTTAATTGTTTACAGGAAACTTGAACACATATTCGACGTAGATCATTTCATTGATTATCTTAAGGATGATGTACGTATTGTACGTGATATTCCTGATTGGTTTACCGACAAAGCAGAGCTGTTTACAAGTATAAGGTTTTTGTTGGAGCATTTGTGTATATTTTGGTTTATGTTGCACATATGTATTTGTGTGCATATATTTTGTCTTTTTATTTTTTTTTACTTTTCTGGATTTTCTTAAGAATCCTAAACACTTCTCGGTACATTTTAGGTCTTTAAAAACTTAGGCTTCTTATTCTGTGACCTGTGAGGTGCATTTTGCTGTATTGTCCTTTTACTCGTAAGACCAATTGGCATATGCCTTGGACATGAACAACTAACGTGATTTACTATTGTTTGTTTGGTTGTTCGTTCATTTTTTTTTAATAAACTTAAGCTAATGTATTTTTCTAAACAAAGCTCTGATCATTAGGTTTTATCTTGACTATATTATACTTGAGTATTGGACCTGCTATCTTATGTTAAGTGAGCCCTTGTTTGACCCGGGACCTGATTGATGCAAAGGTTATCATCTCAAAATTGTAAAGCATTTTAAAACTACCATGCCCCCTTTTCCTTGTTTTCTATTGTCCTATGTTTTCTTCACATAATCTCTCAATGACACGGAACGATCTTTTTATTTTGAGTCCTTATTCACATCCCACATCTTGTCTGACCCATATTTTAGTGCTCTTTGTTAAAACACATGATCTATTTGATTAGATTGGTATCATGGCTCTTTTGGCTTTGTCATTGAACCTGTTCAGTTTGCCATTTGATTCATTGTTGTTACTTCGCCACATTTCATGGATAGAAATGAAGGTGGTGACTTTAAGTTGTTTTTGCAGGCGTACTGTGAAAAACATCCCAAAGTATGCTCCTGCAAATTTTTATATAGATAATGTACTTCCACGGATTAAGGAGAAGAAAATTATGGCTCTCAAGCCCTTTGTCGATAGGCTTGGGTAAGTCCAACGTTAGCTTATTTATACTTATTTGTCTATGCTAGCAACTTGATGTGCAATGAGCTTGCAGATTTCTTTACTGGTAATAATTGCTATTTGAACGTGAACTTTTTTCAAAACCGGCCAAGCTTTTAGCATCTTTTTTTAGAACATTGTTATAAGCAGCCTCATTTTCATATAAGCATTGATCATACTCCTTTGCTTTGTCGATATTCAGGTATGATAACGTCCCTCCTGAAATAAACAGGCTTAGATGTCGTGTCAATTACCATGCATTGAAATTTTTACCTGAGATTGAAGAAATGGCTGATCTTCTCGCATTAAGGATGAGAAATCGGACTGGAAGTCCAAACCCTTACATGTAACCATTGATATAGTATCGTTTTTTTAAGCTTATCAGGTCAGATTGTCATTTTCATCAAAATGTCTAGTTTATATGCATGACTTGCTCTTTTTTTTTTTCCCCCTGCAGGGCACTTCATCTGAGATTTGAGAAAGGCATGGTCGGTCTTTCATTTTGTGATTTTGTTGGAACAAGAGAGGAAAAGGCCATGATGGCAGCTTACAGGCAGAAGGAATGGCCTAGGAGATTCAAGGTATTCTGAGAATTTTCAGTAATGGATTCTATCATAGATAAGGGAACCATCTGGAAGGCTGATAAATGGTGCCATTCTAATGTTTGTTTGCAGAATGGGTCTCATCTTTGGCAGCTTGCACTGCAGAAGAGAAAGGAAGGACGCTGCCCTCTTGAGCCTGGGGAGGTAGCTGTTATTCTACGTGCCATGGGATATCCTAAAGAAACACAGATTTATGTTGCATCGGGTCAAGTGTATGGCGGGCAGAACCGCATGGCTCCTCTTAGGAATACGTTCCCAAATTTGGTAAGTTCTGCTTGGATGCTCATTCCATATCTGCGATATAAATAGTTGTTTTTTCATTTAGTATTTTATCTTTTCTTTCGAAAGTTATTCTGCAGCTTAAGAGGACAGCAACAAGTTCCAAATTACAACTAAAAGATGTTCGGTTTTAGTTTTCGACTACTATTTTATTTTTTCTTTTTTAAATTTCAATCCAAGTATGTATAATTGTCTATACTGGAATAGAAGTTTTGTGGAGCACAAGGCCTGGTCATTAACCCATGATAGTAGTACAAGTCATACTACTATTTGAGCTAAGATTGCTTATTTATAGGCTCCTCAACATGTCCTGCTAATCCATTGAAGTTTCTGTTGCCACCGGCAGTTTATTTATTTATTTTTATTATTAATTTTTAACTTGTTCATAAGAAAATTGTGAAATCTCATGGTTCTGAATGGCGTGATTCTACATGACCATGAACCATGCATACGGTGGATACGTTTCTTTAATGATTCCAAGCTTATTCCACAAGTATTTATGTTTGTCATCGGATTTTCCGCATCTCCATTTTCCTCTCTGTCCTATGTTTTCATGTATGAACCAAGATATATTTGCAGTAGGATTGGTCGAGAGTTTTTTTTTTAATATATCCAAATTGCTAATATTTATATTGGTAATCTGAGAATGTTTGATTTTAATATTTTATCCCGTATGAAAGGGTATTAATACTTGGATATTTATCCCACTCGGTTCCAGGTCACAAAGGAGGAACTAGCCAGCACAGATGAACTCAGTGGTTTCAGGAAGCATGTGACAAGCTTGGCTGCCCTGGATTTTCTTGTATGCCTGAAGTCAGATGTGTTTGTCATGACCCATGGCGGCAACTTTGCGAAGCTGATCATCGGTGCTCGGAGGTACATGGGGCACCGCCTCAAGTCCATAAAGCCGGACAAGGGGCTCATGTCGAAATCCTTTGGCGATCCTTACATGGGATGGGCATCCTTCGTCGAGGATGTCATCATTACTCACCAGACACGAACCGGTCTCCCTGAAGAAACCTTCCCTAACTATGATTTATGGGAGAATCCTTTGACACCATGCATGTGTAGAGCTTGATCCCTCCTGCTCTTAATGGTACACTTCTGCTCTGTACATTCTTATTTCATCCACATTTTGCTGATACTTCTTGAGCTTAGCTTTTCTTACTTTTTTTCTTAATGATTTTTCTTCGCTTGCTCTCTTTCCCATTTTTCTTCCTGTACTAATCTTTTTGAAAACTTTTGCTCCGAGTTTAGACTGATATATTGATAGAAAAACTTGGTCTTATGTTTAGGTGCTGAGTTTTGCAGAGTTTTTTTTTTTTTAAATAAGAATTTTGACATTGATTTATTCATATTTTGTATGGAAAACAAACCGCTGTAGGATTGTCCCTTTTTTTAGTATAAATTACATTTTCTTGTTGGTGGCAGCTTTATTGTAGCTTTATTGTTACCGTTCTGATGTTGTATTGCTTTGAAGAATGATAGGATTAGACAGGCAAGACAATCTTTAATTTAGTTCATTAATTCAATCGCCTGTGCTTTTTTTTTTTTAATCGGGGGATATACATGCATGGTATACATATCACACAATTCCTTTGTGTTTATAAATGTAACATCTAAACTTAGATATTTACCTATTTAATATTATAGTTCACAATCATCTCAAAATATGTCTGAGAATATGTATTAAAAAATGTTAGTATTAGTGGCATTTTTGACGTGTTGTTAAATATTTGAGTATTGTATAAGTAGATATTAAAATTTTGATATTAGATAGGTAAATTCATAAGAATTATTTGGTATGCATTTAAATCATCCTTTTTTGTTTCAAAGTTTTGTGGAATATCTTGTAAAACTCGTTCTAAGTCGTTCATAGCCCATATTCTATTTATTTCAACTTGCTTGAGCGGGTGAACTGATCCCCGAGTTGAATCAGTAGTGAACTTGAATGAACAAAACACTTTGATTATTAACTAACACAATTATATTAGTGATTTGTTGTCAACAAATTTTCATCATTCATCAATCTCAAGGCGTTACAAGAATATCAGAGTAATTTTTTGAGCGAGGATCATTCAAACTTCGATATCAATAAATTTATAATCAAATTGGCCGGCTCGACGAAATGAACGCAATGACTTAAACAGTGGCCAAATCTGAGTCAGTTCAAATTCAGATCAAGTCTTTAAATCATTTTTGGAAGCTTTTGGTATCCAATTGGATGATTAAATGAATTCCAAATTTGATGAACTTACAGTCAAATCGAGCATCCTGACAAGAAGAATCCAACGAGTCTACGATCACTCAATTCCGACATCACGAAGACCCTTAATTGTTCATGAAACCCGTCAGATCAAGGGGATCTTTCTGGGATGTCTGATTGAGTGACCCATATTTATTTCTTATTTTCTAGGAGGCTTCCCCTAGACTATAAATAGAGCACCACCCCCGCTTGAAGGGGGGAGGAAGGACCTAAACCTTGAACATGAGAAAACATAATATATTGAGCTGAGGTCTAGTGTTTCACATCGAAGATTTGACGAATGTCGTCAACTCCTGTAACCACCGACCACCGTTGACCATCACTCACAGTCACCTTCAGTCATCGTCGACCACCCCCTACTTATCATAATGAAGCCCTTTGCAGAATCACGATGTACGTTGCGAAGTAACGAAACATTGTGTGCAGTAACGACCAACCTTCCGTAGTAACAAAGCCTCCTACGGAGCAACGAACCCTGAAGATTGTGTAACATCGTATCCAAATCACTGTGTAATAATGCCCCAATATGGTGGAATGTGAACCCCACATACAATGTAACAACCCATAAGTGCAATAACTGTTTATCACTGTCGTTCTCAAGATACAATCACTTTCTTTGTACTCCTGAAGCTCTCTCTTTGCAATACACAACTACGACCTACGTAAGCAATTATAGCCTACAGCTCATGTAGCTCCCAACTCTGGTCTCTGTGGCATGTGAATGTTATCTCATCTCATGCAGTTTCCAATTTCAACTTTTGCGGCCTACGAACATTATCTCGGCTCATGCAACTCCCAACTCTGGCCATACGGGCTACGAATGTTGTCACAACACATGCGGCTCCTAACCCCAGTCTCTACAACCTATAAACGTTATCACATTTTGTGCGACTCCCGACTTCGAACTCTGCGACCTACGAACGTTATCATTTCTTAAGCATTTCTCAATTTTGATATTTGTGGCATATGAACGTTATTACAGCTTCCCACTACTGTTTTTGTGACCAACTATGACCCCATGCAGTCCACAACTTATGCATCTCCCAATTTTTGACCTCTATGACCTACAGACGTTATCACAACTCACAATCACGACCAACGTGACCAACAATGACTTATATGGTCCACAACTCATGCAACTCTCAACTGTGATCTCTGCAGCCTAAGCATGTTATCATAACTCACGTCGCTCCCAACTCTGAGCATATATGACCTACAGAGTTATCACAGCTCACTGGTACGACTTATGTAATCGATTCCGTCCTGTGTGATATTCAACTAATACAACTTCTAACTCCGACCTCTGCGGCCTGCGAATGTTATCACAACATACTACTACAACCTAAGAGACCAATTATGGCCTACGCAGCTCCCAACTTCGGCCTCTATGAACTACGAGCATTATTGTAGCTCACTACTATGACCTATGTCACCAACGCCTACGTGGCTCACAACTCTTGCAGCTCCTTACCCCGGTCTTTGTGGTCAATCGATGCTCTTGATGCAGTTGTATATGACCCACATGACTAACTACTATCATTACTTTCAACTATGATCTTTATGAAAATTGACACTACAACCACCATCTTAATATTAATTGCGAACTTACGCCTCAATAAAAATCGACTACGACCTTCGCAGCCCATTGGGACAATTATTGTTGAAATAATGATGTACCTCAACTTTGTAATTTCATCTTTTTGAACTCAGGTGAGGAGTGGGCCCATGTACTCACTATTACATATGATTTTTTTCCTTTTTCAGGGGTTTTCACTTAAAAAGTTGAGATGTCTCCTCCTGCTACTTGTCACTTTAGTTACCCAAGTGTTTTAAATTTTAGTGCAATGCTAATATGTTAACTAATTACTCTTTTATCATAAATCTTTCGATACACATCAATTAGTACAAGCCATTGCTTCTATGTAGCTCGAATGTGAACCAGTTTTGAAGATTTCTGCATGGAAAGATGGGGCCCTTTTGGTAGCCTTGGAAACTGCAAGATCCATTCTAGTGTATGAAAGATAGCACCCTCCATCTGGTCTCAGTTCATGCCGCAAAATTTGTGATTTTTTTTTTTGTGAGAAATTATAACATTATGACGTTATTATTACACACACACGGATATATATTATAACCCTCCATCTGGTCTCTTAACATGCACAAAGTAATCATGTGTATATATATATATATATATATA